GCACAAACAACCCTGAGAAGGTTGACATGGCCAGGCTTAAGGTCAAAAAAGCAGCTGGCAGCATGGTAATTGCTGCAGGAGGCCGAATAATGACTTGGACATTTCATTTAGGCAGGAGGCCGTCTTCAGGCCAGATGGCAGTGAGGAAAGGAAGTGTGGTTGCATGATCTAAGGTGGGGCATCCAGGAGTGGCTTCAGCTGTGTTAAGTCTGGCAGGAGGTGGCTGCCTGAGGGCACACACTTCTAGTAGTGGTTTTGGAACTCTGATGGGTCCTTTTGGGGGCAAATTGGGCCTGTGTGCCCATCATTCAAGGTGGGGGTCCCACTGAGGGATCATGGGGGCATGGGTTAAAAAGGCATGCATAGCTCAGGGGCTGCTGGTCACACCCTGCCCTTAAGTGGCAGGGGGATCACACAGTGGCCTGCTCCCCATATTGCTGCCATCACAGCATTTTCTCCTTCAGCAACTGGACTGAAGGACGGTGTTTTACACCAGGTGGCAAGTGGGTCGCTCAGTGCCTTTTGATCCATTCCCTATGCCAAGCCAACCTTTTACAGCTGTAATGTAATAAAGTTGTGGCCTGTTATACCCCCACATGGTGTTGTCTAGGTCTCTTGACCAGGCAGCCAGCCTCCCCCCCTTCAGTGCTGGGGGGGGGGCTGCAACTGTTCCAATAGCCTTTTGGCACTGTTGAATGATTCCTTTTCTGAAATCAGCTGCAAGTGGAAATGAAACACACTGCCCTTAATACAGCACTATATTCCCCAAGCAAAAACTGTAATCCTACTTTTCTCTTTTCTTGCATAACACGGCTGTGACCACTTCTGCTACTCAGTCATTAATTAATTACTTCCTGTACATCCTCCATGGCCATGGCATACATGAATGGATCCTTAATAAATTTCTTTTTTGAAGGGAGTGTAGGTTAATTACTGTTTTCTGCTTTGCATTCAAAGTGATTTTCACTAATTTTTCTTTTTTATTATAATTTTGTAACAGCAATGATCATTAAAAGAAGAAAAAAAGATCAATGAGCAGTTGCTTTTGCTGCAAAGAGAAAAGCTGCAATTGAAGCTTCCACTCCCATCCTTGAAAATGAGAATGGATAAAGGATCTATTCAGAAACAGTGAGAGGAATGCTTTTTAAAATTAACTTTATTTATTGCCTGCCTTTCTGTCTGAGATTTTAGGCAGATTATAACAGACAATGCAATGAAATATGAGACAACCACCAAACAATGCAATAGGACTAGGATTACAAAAATTAATAGCAGTGCAAAAAGAAACCATAGATAAACAATGTTTATTTAAGTAGAAAACAATGCAGTAAGAGTAAGGTAATGCATGCGATGAATTGTAGCATAGACTAAAATCCTGTTCCCTTTATAAGAGTGCCTTCCATTCTATTATACTAAAATCTTATTCCTTTGTAGGAACATCATTATTTCAGAGCCTTATTCCTTTTATAGAAATGTCCTCCTGAACAATTCTCTTTTACACAGTTTGGGGGGAGCTTCCTGTCCTCCTTGGTGAGCTGTTCCATTAAGTGGGAGCCACAACAGAGAAAGCATATTTATGGGCAGCTGTCCGTCTTACCAGTTTGCAGAAGGCTTTGCTGAGATGGTGCGTAGCAGGAGAGGTGGGCCTGCAGATATGAGGGTCCAAGGCCATGAATGGTTTTGTAGATAATAACCAATACCTTGAACTTAACCAGTAACGGAAAGGTAGCCAGTGCAATGACTGCAGAGTTGGTACAATAAGGGTAAGTTCATCTAACTTCCAATAATAACCAAGCTGTAGCATTTTGTACCAATTGCAGTTTCCGATTAGGCCGAGAAATTGAGTTACTTTGAAATAGGAGGTAAATCTAAAGAGACAGAGTCCACTGAACACCTTAATAGCTTTTTGTCATGAGTATGACTGGTGTTGCTGTTATATTTTAAATCTAAAAAATGCCACAGATCAGGTCTGAATAGAAACAAAAATAAAAACAAGACAGACTGGAATAAAAGGGATTGAATCCAGTGATGCATGAGCAGAAAGGAAAATTAATGTAGCACAGTTTGTCTTAACGTGCATCTGGAGCAATGGAATGTACAACAGATTGTTACCTGAACTGGACCTCGAGAGGGGAAATAAGCTTGTTACAGAGTCTCCAGCCAGATAAACAAGGGATCCTTTCCCCATGTATATGGAGGCTTTATTCCCGCCTAATGTTCCCAAGAAAAAGAATAACAGAGACCAACCTATTCAAACTAAATGAAAAATTTATTTACAAATGAATTAATTGTGCTGGTTATAAACCAAACAAATTATACTAACTAACTAACTAATTAATTAATTATTGTATGACATTGTGTGTAGAATAGCCAGGAGATTCTAAGATAGTCTTGGCAGCCAGAAATTCTAGCTCTTTAGCATTATGCAACACTAGGTGGTGAGCTAGACTTGTTTTTAAGGCAAGTGGTGTTTCAGAGGTGGTTTGCCATTGCACGCCTCTCTGTCATGACCCTGGTATTCCTTGGAGGTCTCCCTTCCAAGATATGATGGGAGTGGGCCAACATGGGCTATCCAGGTCAACACACAACTAGAGATAGATCAAAACTGCAAACCCTTTAAAATCATGAATAAAACTATGCAAGTAAAAGAGCCAGTTTGGAGTAGTGGTTAAGAGTGACAGACTCTAATCTGGAGAACCAGATTTGATTCCTGACTCCTCCACATAAAGCCAGCTAGGTGACCTTGGGTCAGTCACAGCTCTCTCAGAGCTCTCTCAGCCCCACTTACCTCACAGGGTGTCTGTTGTGGGGAGAGGAGGGGAAGGTGATTGTAACCCTCTCCAAGACTCCTTTGGGTAGTGATGGGTGGTGTATAAAACCAACTCTTCTTCTCCTCCTTAAAACTTAGAATAAAACCACCCTCTCCCTCCCATTAAACATATGCACAAATGCAAACCTGAGAAGGTGGAGAGGATGAGGGGCAGAGGCTCTGAAGAGTAATACTACCTGATCCCAGGTGTGTGAGAAGCTGAGAATCTCAGTGAGTCTGTGCAGCAGAAGTCCAACGAGGAGGGAGAGGAGCCTGCAAAGCAGTTTGCAGGGATATCCATGTTGCTGATGAAACCTGGCACACCTTTCACTGACTGGGGCCAGTTCTTTTATGAGCAAACATTCCATTGTTCGGGATGGGCCCTGACTTTCCTAAGATCAGGATTGGTCCAAGAAATAAAGTTTGAATTTGACTGGGCAGTTTGAAGCGAGCTGCTGCCTAAATCTGGTGAGAAGGTTGGGAAATGACACCTGACATTCCAAGATGATGCAATTGATGGGTATTTTTAGAATATTGACAAAGAGCCAGGAGTTTGAAAGGAAGGTAAATTGTCCTCTTCGCCCATCCTAGGTGGATCAGATATTGGGCTCCTTTTGCTCAGTAGGTGGATTGGAAGTAATACTTTCCCCATCACTTGGAAATAGCCCATACTGCTGTGACGAAGCATCCCTTAAAGCAGGAAATATAGTTGTATTCCTGCATGCCTTTGAGCTGGGGGGGGGGGCAATGCATTACATCCTGCCTCTCTTGACATAGCAGGCCAGGTGAACTCTCAGAGATCCCCTGTTGCGCTTAGGCTTTCAAGGGGGTGCCACACAAAACAACTAAGTGGAGACTGGGGATCCAATTGGGGTGCCTCAACTGAGAAGAGGCCAGGGGGCTTACAAGGTGGTTCACATGATTCCATATAGGGTTCAAATCCATGAACATCAAGGACTGCTTTTGATATGAAGAGTCCCTATACACATCTTCAAACATAATGAATGGAGAGAGAAAAGACCCCATCCAACACATGTATCTTGACAAATCAAGCAGGAGGTTGGCAAGGTAACTGTATTTTGATCAGCTTTAAAACAAAACCAGTGGAAATATCGGAAATAGTCCTACAACTATTAGTTTTAATTGTACCAGAAAACATCAGGTGCAAAAGAATCTCTGAAGTCCTATGCTGCTTGTGCTTTATAAGAAGAAATCTCTGTCTAAATACCTACCTATTGTAATCAATAGGAGTCAAATAGCTGTGAAGGTTAAGAATTGTTTTCTGTAGGCTACCCAGGCACATGGAACTGCTGGAATTGCTTCTGATTGACATATACAGCACTTTATCCTAGCTACTTTATTCTATCCCTTCCAGTGTATTTTCTTAGACTGGTGACCTGTCAAACTTAGGAAAATAAAAGAAGGCAATGATTTTAACTCTTTATGAAATCAACCAGTGCATTGCCTCTGTGGGATGCAGAATAATCTATCAAGCAACAGGTAACATTAACTTCCTTAGACATTCTGTCATGTTTAGCTAGCTCAGATAATTTCTTCTGGCAAAGAGGAATTGTGTGGCAGGTTGTTTTCATATCCCTTATAGTAACGGGATGTGACACAGTCATCATACCAGCCGGGATTGATTGATGGATTGGCCACATATTATTTTTACTCCTTGAAGACCTTTCATGGGCAGAGCAGAAGATCGAAGTGTACAGCAAAGTCATAAACTCTAGTGCTATTATATCAGTAAGCCATTTAGTTTGTGTTTCTGAACATTAGAGTAGATTACCAGTAAAGCGGATTATTATTTTGAACATTGTAAAGGCCTCCCTGAGTAACTTTACCATATCTTCCCCCAGACATACTTTGGCTGACAGGAAAATACAAAGAACTGGTATGCAGAAAAATGCAAAGTTACTGTATATGATTTTAAAAAAACCCTGGCAATTTATCTTCTAGGTTTTTTAGTTTGGGATATCATCTTCACAGTGATTATGCTATTTCATGTGCTTATCTGCCCAGAAATGTTGCTCCTTTTTAAATGGCTCATTTTATGTCTCCTTAACCTTACTGACATTAACTGATACAGCAAGGAATTGAGTTCCCTTCACCCTTACCCATGTGCCAGTTGCATCAACTCTTGTTTTTAACTACTATCTAAAATTAGTACATGTTCTCATACAGCAGACATGCATGGCAGAAGGCAGAGAGAGAGACAGGAGTGGGTAGAGAGCACAATGAGGACTGACAGTAAGTAAGCTTGTATGTAATGGAGGGAAGATTTAAAAAAGGACATAAGATTAAACATAGAAAAATATATCCAATTCTCAATATGTCCTGATATCTGGATACTTACAATCGGGGGGTTAAAATCCTCCAAAATTACAGAAGCAGTTTTAAGAAATTGATGCCCTCAGTAGCCGTTGCTAGGCTGTCTCTCTTTTACATAGTTATAGCATAATATAACAGCCATAGTTATATCTTAGTGGCAATTGATTTTATAAGTTAATCTCCCCAATACAGTATTGGAGCACTGACTTCAGAAGAGAGGAACCTCTCCATTCCTTATATCTAACATATTCAAAGAGGCTCAGGCTAGAATGAGAGCCTAAATACGATTTCTGATTTCATGTCTACATGGTGGTTTAGTTGTTATCTTTGTTTTATAATATATTTTGTTTTATAATACAAGTTGCCCTGAAGTTTTTGTAGAATGATGTGGGAAAGGATAAAAATAAAATGTGGAATAATATGGCAAAAAATAAAATGAATAAAACCACCACAGAGTGGTCATTCTTCAGTTTCCCCTGCAAACTTAGGAAAAAAGCCCAGAGTCTCCACAGTTATCACAGGCTACCTGGAGGATGACCCCCTCAAGGTCACTTGTACTGGTAGCCATACACGCCAAAAAGCACATGGTATCAAAATACAACAGCTGATAAATTCAGACCAACTAGGATAGCAATGGTTGCTAAAGTGCATGCGTGCACACACACACACACACACACACACACACACACACTGTACAAGGTTCTAGGGTTGCCAACTCTGGGCTGGGAAATTCTTGGAGATTTGGGGTCAGAGTCTGGGGAGGGAACTCAGCAGAGATGTGATCCCATAGAGTCTCCCCTCCAAAGGTGCAATTATTGCTATAGTCTAGAGATCAGTTGTAACTCTGTGAGAGCTCCAGGCCCCACCTGGAGGTTGAAACCCCCGGGGTATACATGGAATGCCTATTCTAAAGATCTGGTTGTCTGTGGGAGTAATTTACAGAGAAGACAAGAGAACACTAGTGATTGAATTAAGTTCACTGTTTTAATGGTGCAAACAGATCTTAAGCAAGGGGACTGAGTGAGTGGTGACTGGCCAACTTCTATTCCAATCTGTTTTCAGGCCTGGTTATGAGACTGACATGGCCTTTGTTGCCATGGTGGATGACATGTACTGGGAGTTGGATAGAGAGGGTGCAAACTTGTTAATTTTCCTGGACCTCTGGTGACTTTTGATACCATCAATCATGGTATCCTTCTGGATTAGGGTTGCCAAGTCCCTACCTGGCATCCAGTGGGGGGAGAGGTTGTGCGTACAGGAGCTTCGCGCGCACTGCAATGACATCACCCGGAAGTGACGTCATCATGCCAGGTATGTTGTTGAGGGATGCTCTAGCGTTCAGGCTTAAAACTCTATGGTACCCTAAATACAACCTTTGGGTGACTTCATTGCGCTGGCACATTGGTCCAATTCAGGCATTTTGGGGGTGGAGTTCCCTCCAGTGGCTGGATCTGAGCCAGTGGGTCGGGGGCCCTTAGAGCAGGCAACCCCCCTTCCCCCCCAGGGGGACATGGCAGCCTTATACTGGATTGCCTTTCGGGATTGGAACTGGGAGGCACTGTTCTGTGGTGGTTCCGCTTCTACCTCGAGGCTAGGTTGCAGAATGTGGTGTTTGAGGACTACTCCTCAACCCCTTGGCCTTTGGGGTTCCCCAAGGCTCCATTTTGACCCCCATGCTTTTCAACATCTATGTAAAGCTGCTGGAGAAGTCTCCAGAGATTTGGGCAGATCTGCCACCAGTATGCAGATGACACTCAGCTCTGTCTCCTACCAACAAATCCCAGGAGGCTGTGGGTATCGTGAACAGGTGCCTGGGGGCAGTTTTGGAATGTTGAAGCTTAATCCTCACAAAACAGAGGTGCTGCTGGTGGGGGGAACATTTGACCCGGGTAATGGGTTATCCCATTCTGGGTGGAGTTGCATTCCCCTTAAAGGAGCAGGTTCATAGCTTGCGGTGCTCCTGGAACTGGGCCTTTTGTTGGAGTGGGTCATAGGGACCATATAACTTCAGTCTTGTTCCATCAACACTGGCTTCCACTTTGCTTCCAGGCTCAATTCAAGATGCTGTTATCGACCTTTAAAGCCCTGCATGGACTGTGACCAACATACCTTAAGGACCGCCTTCTCCCATATGAGCCTACTGGTTCACTCCAGTCATCCTTGTTGTCCCTGCTTTGGTTGCCCCTGCCGTCTGAGGCTAGACGGACTGCAACCAGAGAAAGTGCCTTCTCTGTAGTAGAAGCAAAACTCTGGAACTCCCATCCTAAGGAGATTCATCTGTCTCCCTGTATCAATGTCTTTTGCCAAAGATGACTTTTTTGTTTTGTCTGGCATACCTCTAATAATGCTCATTGTTTTTTGTTTATGTGTTTTTAATTGAATTTTATATTTGAAATATTTTTTAATTGTTTAAATGTTTTAATGTTTTCATGTTCATCATCTTGTGGACCCTGATGGGGTAGAAAGGCAGCATAAATGTGTATTAAATCAATAATTTAAATTAAAAAATTAAAAAGCAGATTTAAAGCAAATTTGTAGGTAATGCCAATATATGGTACATTTGTTGACAAAAAAGAATTAGGTTTCAGGTTGCTGCAGGCCACAGGCCATCAAAGGAATAGGTAAGTAAACAATTGAACTTGAATGCCAGCACACTGTTATGTGTCATTGGGTTGGCCCCAATAAAGATATCACATGGGTTATGTTTTTGGCTTCTTGGCTTTTATATTTTTGAAGTCAAGTAAGCACATCCACACGTTTCTGATATACACAAAGCAGAAAAAAAATGTTTCACACTGCTATCAAATCCCAACCCTCAACCAGATTCAGCCTGCAACCTATTTTCAAGTCAGGATGCATTCACAGAACATATGTGCAATATTAAATATTTGCACTGGTATCTCCTGATGAAAGAAGACACACTTGCTATAGGCAGATTGGGTACTATGATGAGTTTGGCTGCCTTGATTAGTGTGAATGATCTGCCAGCTGTGGCTTAGCTTGACAACCTTGATGGGTGGTCAGTGATTTAACAAATGGACTGAAATTCCTTGATGGTTATAATTTTTGGAATGCCACATCAGTTAGCATTATGTTGGGAGACATAAATACAACTTGAAGTGGAGTTTGCAGTTTGAATTTGGGCAAAGGCAGAGAGAATAATGCAGCATGAGATACATTTGTTATAGGTTTTGTGGCTGGCAACCTGAGAGAGGGCTTTTCAGTTGTGGCACCAAAATCATGGGTTTTGATTTTTTTTTTTGTTAGCTGCTCTGATGGCTCTCATTGAGCAGAAAGCCAGGCTATAAGGTTTGTAAACAAACAAATGAATGCATTATTTTTTTAAATGTGGAACAAGATTAAGGAGTTCTGCTTCCAACCCAGTAAACTCCGATAGGCTTATTTAAATACAGATATTATGGACACTGTAAATATACTATGCTCTCTTTCATCCAAAGAAACCATGCCTTGGCTTTGATTATATAGCATGGTTTCTTTGGATATATTGCAACACTGCAATGTATGTCTATTTCTTTTAAAAGCTGGTCCAAATTCACCAGGAGGACAACATGGCATATCCTCCTGCAAGGTCAGGGGGGCTGAGCCAGTCTGAAGCTAGCACAATAGGAAAGGCAGTTTCTGCATTTAATTTCAGTTCAAGCCCCATAATCTGTTTTAGGAACGGGTAGCAAACCATGTGATCAGTTTCCAATATCGTGTTACATGGGACTGAAATGTTTAGCTGCACACAAACTGACTGTCGTCACTGCTGACTAATCACAGTTTACCACACCTGACACATTCATTTTAGGCTAGGGACAGGACTCCAGGTGGAAAATAAACATTCCACGTACACCAGACCCCCATCATGTCCCATTTTGCAGTTTAAGCACAGCAAAACTCCCCTACTACTTTCAGTAGGAGTTACCACCTCCCATCTTGGCCTGTTTATTCAGGACATTTTTTCTCTTGGCTTGCATCTTTTCATGGTGTCAGATTCTGCACAGGGAATTTATAAACTGCAGGTCAAATGTTAAATGAAAGTTCTGAGGTAAAAGATGCTTGAGACAGACTTTGCTCAAGGAGAAAAGATTGTGCTGAAGCAATGTTCAACAAGTTTTTGCAGAGTTCTTGTTCTTTCCCCTTAATATCAGGAAAAACATAGAGACTTTTTTTACTGTGTTAGTTAACCGTTCTGGTTTGTTATCAGGGAAGGAAAGAAGATGCCAGTGACGAAACTGGCCATTTATAAATGAAGAGAAAATAAATACTGTTTCTCATCATGTCAGGAATAGAACTGTACAAGTGGACACCTGCAAAAAACTTTCGGGGTGGCTGTCTCATTCCCCCCACACACACACACCTTTGCTTTCTTCCCTCTCCCACTCTTTCTCCCTTCTGCCACTACTTTTCTTACTCACTCTCCTCCATGTATGTTACTTCCTCTCTCTTTCTGCCCTATCACTCTCTTTGCTTTTCTGCCTCCCCACCTCATAATTCTTTCTCTTTCTTTCTGCCCCCACCCCCATCACACTCTCTTTCTGCCCCGTCACCCTCCCAGCCACCCAACTGCTTCCCCCCCCCAGCAGCAGTGGTGGCAGCAGCTCTCCAAGAATCACAGTGAATCTCTCCGCTTCAGAGATCAATTGCCAGCTCCAGTTTGGGAAATTCCTGAAGATTTGAGTGTGGAGCCTTGGGATGGTGAGACCTCGCCATAGATTCTACCCTCCAAAGCAGCCATTTTCTCCAGGGGAACTGATCACCTGGAGAGCAGTTGTAATTTCAGGTGATCTCCAGCCCTCACCTGGGGATTGGCAGTGGTAGCTCTTGTAGAGAAAATGGCTGGTTTGGAGGGTGGGTCCTATGGCATTATACCAGTCTGATGTCCCTCCCCTCATCAAACCCCACTCTCCCCAGAC